CACACAGAATCCCCAGCAGGCATGACGTGAGCCAGAGAGAGTTCGGCTCCACCGCCCGCCACTTCTTCCTGTCCAGGCAGCCAGGGAGCGAGCGAGGTCAGGGGCCCCCAAAAGGAGCCCCCCCAACACGCCCTGAAAGAGGGCCCCCCCGGGACGGCCCGGGAGGGCCCCGGAGGGGCCCCCATAGGACTGCCCCACGGGAGGCCCCATGGCGGCCCCCAAGGCGGCCGCAGATGAAGCCCAGGAGAGCTCCGCAGGCAAGGAAGGCGAAGATTTGGTACATGTGGCGGCCCTCCTCCTCCTCCTCCTCCTCCTCCTCCTCCTCCTCTTCCTCCTCCGCCTGCTCCTGCTCCTCTTCTTCCTCCTCCTCCTCCTCCTCCTCCTCCTCCTCCTCCTCATCATCATCATCAGCAGCAGCAGCAGCATCATCATCATCAGCATCATCATCAGCATATCACCATCATCATCATCATCATCATCATCATCATCATCATCATCATCAGCATCATCATCATCATCATCATCATCAGCATCAGCATCATCAGCATCATCATCATCAGCATCATCATCATCATGAGCAGCAGCAGCAGCAGCAGCAGCATCAGCATCATCAGCATCATCATGAGCAGATCACCATCAGCATCATCATCAGCAGCAGCAGAAACAACATAACCAATCACCCTCATCATCCTCATCACGGCTCTCCCAAGCCTGGGGACACGGGGTGTCACACGTGACGGCCTCCCGTGCCCCCTCGAACCGTCGCCACCAGAGTGCTGGGCTGTCACGGCCACGGGACTTTGCGACGGGCAGCCGGATGGCAAGTCGGCCAGGCCACCTCCCCTCACCGCATCGCCCGCCTCCGCCTCCCCTGCCCGGGTGCGCCAAAGTAGGGGCCAGGGCCAGTGGGCTCAACGCACCATGGACCGAGGCACGCACGCGCGGACGAGAGGGGGGGGGGGGCAGAGGGTGCGTGGAAAACTGGGCGGGAAGGCATGATATCTGAGAGATTGCATGGCCCCGAAAATGCTATCCACGTACACCCGTGAGGTCCTCACACGCGTTTTTTTCCGCCGGCGGTGAGGCAGAGACAGTCTCCGCACCAGCGCGGGTCCGATCGTGGCGTCCGATCGGCACATTGTCCGGCGTGCCAGAGTGCGAAAGGCAAAGACGAGGCCAGCCGCGCGGAGGGTGGCGGGGCACAGGAGAGCCCGGAGTCGAAACGATACGTCGGATCGGCGATCGAAATGACTCGGATCGGCGGAACTCGGCGGCCGAGCCGGGAGATGCCGAATCGGCGGAAGAATCGGCAAGCCAGTGTGCCCCCAGTGAGAGAGATCGGGGCCCAAGTCGAAATCCCAAGTCGCATCGAATCGGAACCGGAGGCCATTGAAGTCGAATCGAAACGGCTCGGAGGAATCGGGGCGAGCCCTGGGAGGGTGGCGGGGGAGGGCGCTCGAGCGTGGAAGGCTCCTGCGGTGAGCGGGCCGGAGCGGCTGGCCTGGGCAGCGGGGACGAGGGCCTCTCACACACACACACTCAACACCTGGTGGCTTTCGGGTCCTAAGGTCAGGTCGGGCACGTCCTCCTGCCGGCGGATTTTGGACGAAAAGTGAAACGTGGCAAAACAAGATTAGAACATGACCAACCATGACCGAAAGATCGTCCCCAGAGTATCTTGCTGAGGGACGTGCCCGACTGAACCCTCCTAAGACTCCTGCCTCTGACAGGCCGTGTTCGGGACGATGCGGGCGCACCCCTTGAATATAGCTGGCCTCTCGGCGAGGCGCGGCTGCCAGCGAGCGCCCCGAGGCTGGAGAGGAGGCCGGCGAGAGCCCGCGAGCGCGCCCGGGGTGCCTTCGGGCACCGCCCGACCCGAGAGCTCGGGCGGACCCAGGGCCTCCTCCTCCTCCTCCTCCGCCTCCTCCTCCTCCTCCTCCTCCTCCTTCTCCTCCTCCTCCTCCTCCTCCTCCTCCTCCTCCTCCTCCTCCTCCTCCTCCTCCCCCTCCTCCCCCTCCTCCTCCTCCTCCTCCTTCCTCCTCCTCCCCCTCCTCCAGGAGACCCAGGGCACCCTGGAGGCGAGCAGGGTGCCTCCTGGTCGGGGCCCCCACTGCAGCCCACGGAGCGTTCCGAGGCAGCGCTCGCGGAGCCGCCCGCCAATCGCTCTGGAGCGGCCCGCGGCGCCCGACGCGTCCGCCGGAGCCGCGCCGCACGTCGGAGAGCCCCGACCTGTCCCGATCCGATGTGATTGAAGGGGCCCTGTGATTGGCCTGTTTTCCACCACCACCACCATAAGTTGGAGGGGGAGGGGGTCCTCCTCCTCCCCCTCCTCCTCCTCCTCTTCGTCCTCCTCCTCCTTCTCGTCCTCCACTTCCTCCCCCCTCCAACTGATGGTGGTGGTGGTGGAAAACAGGCTCATCACCCTGGGCTTCTGTGGGCGCCGGAAACGGCAGGGCCGTGTTTTCACCGTTCCCCAAAAAAGACCCTTGAAAATGGAAGCGGCAAAAAAAACGGCGACCGGAAACGGCAAAAAAACGGCTCCAGGATTGGAGCCAGAGCCGGAACCGGTGAAACAACGGCGACGGAACCGGCAAAAAAACGGCGTCGGAACCAGTAAAAAAACGGCCCTGTCGTTTCCAGGGCCCACTAAGGCCCTGGGACACACAGACAGATGTACACACACACACACACAAATGGAAGGATCCCCCATGTTTCCCCATAGTTTCTGGGCTCCTGTCTTCCCCCGCACTTCTCATAATTACGTTCCCACATTTTCCTGGGAATCGACGATGCATTTTTCGGGTCGGGCGAAAGGGGGGGATAGCAAGGGGGGGTTTGAGAATCAGCTTGCGTAGCTGATTTTCCCGGCGCCTCCCGGCGCCTTGTAGCGAGGAATGGGCCCCTCGGTCGGGCCGAAACCAGCTGCATGCAGCAGATTTCGTAACCCCCCCTTTCCCAAACCCCCCCTTTCGCCCGACCCGAATTTCGTCTGTGTGCTTTTTGTTCCCTCCTGGCGGAAGGGCGCTCCGCTCTCGCCCGGGGCAGAGGGCCTCCCACCCTCCCACGGACTGGGCACGGGCGTGCCCCCTGGCTCTTCGGGAGGCGACATCGCTCAGGAGGGGCACGAGCATTGGGGATGGGGTTAAGTCGGGCCTGTCCCCCCACAGGGGGATTTTCGACGAAAAATTAAAAGTGCCCCCAAAATACCCATAGAAGGTCAAAAAATACTGAAAAAATAGTCCCCAGACTATGTTTGGGCTATTGTTTGATTATGTTTGGTGTATTTTTTATGTTTCGTCCCAAATCCCCCTGCAGGGGGACAGGCCCGACCTAAGGATAGGGTTATGTTGCTCCCATCGCACTTAAGGACCACATCCCATAAATGATTTCGAGCACCCGGAAAAGTGTCGAAAGGGTGTCGAAACAATGTCGAAACAGTGTCGGGCGAGTGTCTCCCAGGGTCCGACACGTGACAACCCTAGAGTTTTGGGGGCACTTTTCTGGTGCTCGAAATTTTTTCTGGAGATCAAGGCTGGAGTAGGCAGGAACATCATAAGGATAGGGCAACCTTCTTCTGCAGATGTATCAACCCAAACTGCCAATACTCATTAGCCCGAATGCGAAAAAGGCAAGCTCAGTGAGGCCACGTCTTCATCGCAGTATTGGGATTAGGGACATTGTGTCCTCGATGACCCATGGTGCACCCGCGGGGCCCCAGATAGGGGTCCCCTGGGCAGGCAGCACGGGGCCGCTCCCTGGAGGGCGAGCTCCCAGTCACTGCCAGGACGAGAGTCCTGTCATGATGCGGCTGGCTCCGGATACGTTCCAGGATGTCCAGAATATCCGGCGGCCCTCGTTTCTGCAGCACGCGTAAAAGGTAATGAGAAGTTGGAATACATGCAAAGCTTGAAAACCATGGATCGTGCCTTATTGTGACTTCTGGCTCATCAGAACTTCAGGAGCCTGCAGCCAAGGCCCAGGCTTAGCTGAAGAGCCGAACTCGATACACCGACGCTGTTTCTGGCCCCGCACTGGAACTCGCACAGGCGAACGGATCCTGTTGTGCGCGGGATCCTGGTGTCTACATGCTTCGTCGCTTCCCAAGGGAAGACGGGGAAGAAAGTGTACACCACACCACCCCGACGTGGCCCGGACGGATGGGCGCCTGGGTCACCTGGCCGCCCCTGCCGGGGCCTCCGAGCCAGGAAGAGAGCCGCTCCCTCCTCCTCCTCCTCCTCCTCCTCCTGCTCCTGCGCCTCCTCTTCCTCCTCCTCCTCCTCCTCCTCCTCCTCTTCCTCCTCCTCCTCCGCCGCTCCCTCCCTCCCCGCGCACGCCCAGAGCGGGTCCGGAAACAGCGGGGCTGCGACACCCATTGAGCAGGGACCGACCGTCCTGGCATTCCTGCAGGCCTATCACGAAGTATTTTCAGAGCCCAAAAATGTTTTAAGAATCGAGTAATGTTCTTAGAATAGAAATCCGATGTGTGTTATAACAAGACAGCCTCAGCCGGAAAGGTTCTAAGAACATCCCGTGCAGATCACAAAAGGTTCTTAGAGCATCCTCTGGTGGGCCTGTAGACATGCCAGGACGCTTCGCCCCTGCTCCAACCGAGCAGCACAGATTGTTCAAAACCGGCACCGGCCGCCGTTGGGCAGGCGGCCCCCTGCCTCAAGTGGGCGACGTCCGCGGCGACACCGACGGCGAACCCGGCCCCCCCCCGCTCTCAGTGGGCAGGACCTACTGCCAGTCTCCGTCCCCGCCCTTCTCGACAACACGTGAGAGTGACCCTGGGTAAGAGTGACCTTTGGTGCGCGGCCGTTGGGGACCGCGGGGGGGCCAAGCACAAACGCGCAAGACGCTACTGCCGCATCGCGTTCGGCGATCGGGGGAGCCCAGTGGGCCCGCACCAAAGGCCACTCCGGCGAAAGATCACTCTGACGTCCAGTCGACCTTCCCGTGCCCACTTCGGCCGTGCCGGTCGCCGCTGCGCGGGCTGCCCTTTCTCCGCTCCGTCGGTGGCTGACGTCAGTGACTGCTGCCGGGCCCAACTTCCCCCAGGAGGGCCACGCGCCGCCGGGGAGCGGCGCCCAGAGCCGAATTAGGCGCACGACGAGCAGAGCGAAGACCCAAAGCGAGAGGGCCGCTGTCTGAGAGGGCCTCCTCCTCCTCCTCCTCCTCCGCCTTTTCCTACCCCTCCTCCTGCTCCTCCTCCTGCTCCTCCTCCCTCCCCCTCCTCCGCCTCCTCCTCCTCCTCCTCCTCCTCCTCCTCCTCCCAGGGTGCGCTCTGAGCAGAATCTCGAGGCGAGCTCAGCGACGGCGACGAGGACCGCCCGGGAGGCCCACGAGAAGGAGGGAGAACGACGGCGGAAGGAGCGCGGCGTCGGTGCCTCTTCCCCCTCCGACCTCCGAGAGGGCAGCTGACGCCGATGCCAGAGTGCCAGAGCGAAGTGCGGGGAGCAGCAACAGTCATCTTATTGGATGAGTAGTTCAAATTCACGGATTCTTGAAATGCTCGGCCTTAGTTGCTCGTGCGTAAATCTGCATGTGTGTCCAAAGCTCTCGACTCCCGCCAGCTTCGTTGATGAGCATGCTCCCACATTGGGGTGACTCTTTTTTGCATGGCAACTTCTGGGTAGACTCCGACATGGTACATCCCGACTGGGCCGGCAAGCAAACAAAAAGTCATAGACCCGGAGTGGTAAAACAAACGGTCGGGCGGGTTGTGCAGGCGTACCTTAACTGCGATTCCGTTGGGAGGCATCGAACGAGAGCGAATTCCCTGACTCACGTGTAAGATAGCCCCGGGCAAGCGTCTAATGCCTGAGTGGCCCAAGCCCGATTTTTTCTATTGCAAAGAAGTCCCAAACAAGAGTACGACTCCTGAGCAGCGACACCTGTCAGAGGAACTCAATGGCGAGAGCAAGATTCTTAAGCAGAATGCGAAGAAACCTTGGGCGATAACGAGATTTCATAATACACTGTGTAAGTAACGCGTGGCAGCCATTGTTGAAGACTGGGGCCAACAGGGGGCAAGCGTTGAGGGAGGCACTCCACTTGAATACGATCGTAGCACCCCGCAGTTGCGGATAAGAGTGAAGGGGTGGCGGGGGCGTCAGCAGTCTGCGAGGATCTGAAGAAGACCGCCGCAGGCGCAGAAGTTTTCAAGCTATATCACGAGCCCGCCGCAGGCGCCGAATTTCGCGGGTTGGGTCGCAGGTGGGTCGCGGGTGCGTCGCGGGTGGATTGCGAGCCAGGTCGCGGGTGGGTCGCGGGTAGGTCGCGGGTGGGTCGCGGGTGGGTCGCGGGGTGAGTCGCGGGTGGATCGTGGGTGGATCGCGGGATGGGTCGCGGGTGGGTCGCGGGGTGGATCGCGGGTGGGTCGCGGGGCGGGTCACGGGGGGCACGACGCCAAACAACAACAACAACAACAACAATTACTAGCACGTGGGGACACACCGTTCTCACCAGTGCCAGGGTTTTCATAGGAGGCGGGCAATACCCCCACTTTGTGGGGGGGCCGGTTCAAGCTCTACCAAATTTCCAAACGACTCTTCGCCACCACCCACACCCAGCTTCCCGCCCTATGACGTTCGGACACTTCACTTCGTGGCATGCGGACGACCGTGGCTACTATTCAGGGCCCCGCGGCCGACGACGACGGCGTGCGCGCGCGAAGAAAAAACGAATGTGTCCCGCATGGTATTATTTGACAGGGATGATGGCCCTGGCAGGTGCGCAACCGTTGTCGCAGAAGTTCGAAAAAGTTGCTCGCAAAAGCCCGTTTGACAGAAATGTTTAAAAAGTGTTGGGTTTCCTACGAATCCGCAAGAGCGCGCGGGATGAGATTTTGACAATTTTTTGTTGAAAAACCATTGGTTTTTTGATGTTTTTATGTTAAAATCGCTGCGAACACTAAGGTTTTGGAAGGATTTCGTCTTGCGCGCGCGAATGTCCACTTTACCTTATTTTTTGCAAGGGATTCTTGAAATTTGATTATATTAGAACAAGAAATGTCATTTTCTATTGTTTTTTGCAAGGGAAAGCGGATTACAACAAAACAACCGGATCCTGTACACACCCTCTTTTCTGAGGCTTCCTCACGAAAATGATGAAAATGTAGCTGCGGCCTAGGCGGCGCAGGGGGGGCGCGCACCAGGGGGCCCAACAATAATTATTCTTTAGAATAAATAATGTTCAACAACAACAACAATAACAACAACAACAACAACAACATCACACAACAACAACAACAACAATCATTTAAGACTGGGGACACTCCGTTCTCACCAGTGCCAGGGTTTTCATAGGAGGCGGGCAATACCCCCACTTTGTGGGGGGGCCGGTTCAAGCTCTACCAAATTTCCATACGACTCTTCGCCACCACCCACACCCAGCTTCCCGCCCTATGACGTTCGGACACTTCACTTCGTGGCATGCGGACGACCGTGGCTACTATTCAGGGCCCCGCGGCCGACGACGACGGCGTGCGCGCGCGAAGAAAAAACGAATGTGTCCCGCATGGTATTATTTGACAGGGATGATGGCCCTGGCAGGTGCGCAACCGTTGTCGCAGAAGTTCGAAAAAGTTGCTCGCAAAAGCCCGTTTGACAGAAATGTTTAAAAAGTGTTGGGTTTCCTACGAATCCGCAAGAGCGCGCGGGATGAGATTTTGACAATTTTTTTTGAAAAACCATTGGTTTTTTGATGTTTTTATGTTAAAATCGCTGCGAACACTAAGGTTTTGGAAGGATTTCGTCTTGCGCGCGCGAATGTCCACTTTACCTTATTTTTTGCAAGGGATTCTTGAAATTTGATTATATTAGAACAAGAAATGTCATTTTCTATTGTTTTTTGCAAGGGAAAGCGGATTACAACAAAACAGCCGGATCCTGTACACACCCTCTTTTCTGAGGCTTCCTCACGAAAGTGATGAAAATGTAGCTGCGGCCTAGGCGGCGCAGGGGGGGCGCGCACCAGGGGGCCCATCAATTATTATTCTTTAGAATAAATAATGTTCAACAACAACAACAACAGCAACAACAACAACAATCCTCTGAAGACTGTTCGCTCTTATCTGCTCGAGTGTCCGTTAACACGTATTTCCCAAACCCTCGATACCCGCCCTCTTCGTCTTCGATCGTATCCCTTTTGGGGGGTATACCTGTCTTCCCTGCAGGCCGGGCCCCGGAAAGAGGCGGGGCGGCCGCGGACCGTCGGCCTGGCCAGCGGCAGCGCTGATCGGCGTCAACCCGACCCCAAGAGGGACGGACAGGGCACCGACCACGACGAAGACGACGACGACAACGACGTCGACGACGTCGACGCGACGACGACGAGCGAAAGCGAGAGCGAGAGAGAGAACGACAGCAGGGCCACGAAGGGCACGAAGTAGGCCACGAAGGGCGACAGCGGGGACACGAAGGGAATGCGTATGGGGCCACTCAGAGCGCGAACGAGCGGGGGCCACGAAGGGCAGATAATGCGGGGCCACAAAAAGCAACGACGGGGCCACTGAGGGTAGCAACTGGGCCACGTAGGACAGCGAGGGGGCCACAAAGGGCGACAGCGGGGTCACGAAGGGCATGCAAATGGGGCCACGACGGGCGTAAACGAGCGGGGGCCACGAAGGGCATACATATATTGGGCCGCGGAAGGCAAGGACGGGGCCACTGAAGGCAGCAACGGGGCCACCAAGGGCAGCGAGGGGGCCACGAAAGGGTGCAACGGGGCCAAGATGGGCAGCCAGGGGGCAACGAAGGGCTGCAACGGGGCCACGAAGGGCAGCAAGGGGGCCACGAAGGGCTGCAACGGGGCCACGAAGGGCAGCGAGGGGGCCACGAAAGGGTGCAGCGGGGCCACGAAGGGCAACGGGGGGGCCACGAGGGGCTGCAACGGGGCCACGAAGGGCAGCGAGGGGGCCACGAAGGGCTGCAACGGGGCCACGAAGGGCAACGAGGGGGCCACGAGGGGCTGCAAGGGGGCCACGAGGGGCTGAAGCGGGGCCACGAAGGGCACCGAGGGGGCCACGAAGGGCTGCAACGGGGCCACGAAGGGCAGCGAGATCCCGATTTCTACATAATCTGCGAGGCAGTCCTAAGCGTCAGCGCGACTCCTGGGTGCCTCAGTGTCGGGAGCGCGGCGCTTGAGTAAATTTCGGGTGGTTCCAACGCAAGGGCGCTATTCTTAAGTATAGTTGCAAGCAAGTCTCCAGCGAGAGCGCGACTCCAGAGCGCCGAGGGAGCGATTCCTGAATGAAGAAAGTATAAGGAAATCACAGGCGAGAGCGCGATTCCTGGGCCAACAACGCAGTTTGAGGATGAAGCCCTTCCCTGATACAAAAGAACAGGGTGCGAGCGCCGGGAGGGGCACTTCAATAGACAAAATACACTGTGCACCGGAGGGGGATCAACAATACTTATTCTTCAGTCGTGAAAATTCAACAACAACAACAACAACAACAACAACAACACCAACACCAACAACAACAACAACAACAATCATTTTACCCGAACGCGTGGTGTTCTCCCCAGTGCCAGGGTTGTCATACGACACCAGGCAATACCCCCACTTCGTGGGGGGGCATTACAAGCTCTACCAAATATCCAAACGACTCTTCGCGACCACCCAAACCCAGCTTCCCGCCCTATGACGTTGGGACACTTCACTTCGTGGCGTGCGGACGACCGTGGCTACTACACTGGCGTGGGGTACACACCCACAGAACCCAATGGTTTTTGGAGATTTCGGCGTGCGCGCGCGAAGAAAAAACGAATGTGTCCCGCATGGTATTATTTGACAGGGATGATGGCCCTGGCAGGTGCGCAACCGTTGTCGCAGAAGTTCGAAAAAGTTGCTCGCAAAAGCCCGTTTGACAGAAATGTTTAAAAAGTGTTGGGTTTCCTACGAATCCGCAAGAGCGCGCGGGATGAGATTTTGACATTTTTTTTGTTGAAAAACCATTGGTTTTTTGATGTTTTTATGTTGAAATCGTTCCGAACACTAAGCTTTTGGAAGGATTTCGTCTTGCGCGCGCGAATGTCCACTTTACCTTTTTTTTTGCAAGGGATTCTTGAAATTTGATTATATTTGAACAAGAAATTTCATTTTATAGTGTTTTTTGCAAGGGAAAGCGGGGGGGAACAAAACAACCGGATCTG